TATATATATATATATAATTTGTATCCATATAATATTCAGACAAAAGATATCTCAGGGCTTGTATAGGAAGATATTTCCCTACACAGTTTCCCTTAACCAGCTTTGTCAGGTGGATCTGATCGGAAACCTTCTGATGACTGACCACCAATCGATTCAGAACCAGCATCACCTGGGAAGAGGCGGATCAAAAGAGCAGCCACATGGAAAACACCCTCCAGAAACTAGGGGGCGCAACGTGTCTTTCCCGAGACCATAGAGAGGTAAGTAGGCAGGGAAAATAGCACCCACACATTTGTTTATATTCCAACCTTGCTTATACCTCTATTTCAGGTTTCAGAAATTGGTGCATAAATTCAAAGTTCCTAATCAGATTTTCACGAGGTGTATATCTGTTATGGGTATCTTTCCTAGCGGGAGCGTAACTGGAAATCACAGGGCCCCATAGCAAAACTTTGTATGGAGCCCCGTGATTGCTATTTATGCCACTTGCAGAGCCCACCTGAGAGTGACCCTGCAGAGACTCTCTATAGTGGTCTCAGATGGGCTGCACACCTCTTACCTGTCAGCGCTGTCCTCGTCCGTGGTCGCCGGGCCCCGCCTCCTCTTCTATCAATGGGCCCGTCTGTTCTTAGGTCGCTGGCCAGTGATGTAAGAGGAGGCGGGGTTGCTCTTAGACGGGCCCCGCTTCCTCCTTCACTGCGAACGCCATGCTCTTCTGCCGCAGCAGCTGGCTGTCACTGACACAGCTCCGCAGCGGCTGTGAGGGGAAATCAGTGATCTTCACAGCTGAGCAGTGACAGCCAGCACCCTTACATGACATAGCTACCCAGGCGGCCCACATGGCATCAGAGGGATGCCCTGGCCGGGCCCCATAGCGGCTGCCTGGGTCGCTATGGCGATTGTTACGCCACTGTTTCCTAGTGTTCCATACATTGGTACACATCCAATCCAGATCTCCAAATGGCAGCCAGGGGCTATACAAGCCCTGAAATATCTTTTGTCTGAATATTATATGGATACTAATAATATATGGTAACATGATTGCTACACAAGTGGTATATGTAGGTATCTAATCTAAGGCTTTAATGTATACGAAGAGGCAACATTAATGTGAAGTAAGGATCTTTTGGAACTGTTTGTACATATACATATGTCATGGTGGTTGTTCCACCTGAATTGAAACCCCATTCTCTCTAATATTGCTTGCAAACAAATTAGGCGGACAAAAGGGGAGGTATGCTTAAATGATTTTATATGGACTTTTTAGTAGGCGTGAGTGCTACAAATGAAACATTTCCTCCACAGGAAACTCATTCTGACACTGGGGTCAGATTGTCTTGTACAGGTTATAAAGCAACTGACCCCCTCCCTGTGAATCATCACAACAAGATTACTGCACACCAGCTCTGCCTTTCCAGGTCACAAAGTGAAGCATAGCATTGTGGGAAATGTAGTTTTCGTTGCCTTACATTGTAGTTCCCACTGTGCACAGCAGCCTGTAATTGACACAGACTGCCTGCAGAGCACCGGGGCGGCCATTTCAAAAAGAGCCATGAGGCGATGAAGACAGGTAACAAAAAAGTACGTTTCTGTGTTCATATACAGCAACTGCATATGCCTGCTACACGTACACTCGGTGTACAATGCTCTCATATGTTTTTTTTAAATGCCTTCTCAAAGGTGGACAGGGGCTTTAAAGGGAAGGGAAAAAAGGCACTGCTCGTTTATTTCCACTTACTGTCAGACGCAGTCACTATTTGGGTTCAAACAGCAGGGGGGATTCCTTCATCTGTAGGGCTATACAAGAGATATCTAAAGTCCATGCATACAGAGTAAGAACAGATACTGAGAATGACACCCAGCATACAGGTAGTTGGGTAATTGTATCCTACGTGTAACCCTGCTTTGCCCAAGCAGAGCTAAATGTAGAGCGGGGAAGCCGCCGCTTGTTCTGTACAAGTGATCTCGGCGATGCCAATTGTATGCAGCCTGCATAAAGGGGGGCGCATTGAGTAACCTAGCCCTGGGGCAGCAGAGATAGTAATTCCAGCCCTGACGTCCCTCCAACACAATTTACATTAGCGCCCAACGCACCGCAACTCACCACAACGCATACAGAATTTAAGAAAGGGGCATGCATGTATTTTTTCATCCGTGGTGCGTTGGCATCCCATTGAGTGAACTGCCTTAACACAATGCCAGGTAACGTGTGTATTATGCACACCAACGAATGACTGGGATATACGATATCCAATAGAGGGAAAAGGAAGCGATATAAACCTATGATTTTCTATCTGCTGGGACTTGTAGTTCTACCAACGAACAAGCATGCTCTGATCCTGTAATTTCACAGCAGGCGCCGTCTCATTATATTCTCTACCAGGGTACGTGATGTTACCCTTTAATCATAGAGCAGCACTGCAGCTTTCATAGTCTTGCTAACACTTATCATAAGAAGCTTCTGGGTATAGAAAGATGGCCGACCTGAGTACTATGGGTGTAGCAACATGCCTGACTTCCTGTCCTGAGAAGAGGCACGTGGTTGCTGCAGTCTTCAGGAAGCGGCTGAGTAAAGGTTGTGTACAGTAAGTGGGGGAGCTGTGTGATATGTGGAGGGGTAGCTGGTAATGGGAGGACAGGAAGAATATATAAAGACTAATAACTGTCTCTGTCTTCACAGATATAAGAGTCAGGAAATGTCTGTCTCTGGTAAAATACAAATGTACTGTATACAGCTGTGGAGTGTTTGTTGTATTCTAGGTAACTTAGGGCCGGTTCATACCATGGAGGTCTGTTGTGGTGCATTTAAACCACACACATTGGGGGAGATTCAATAAAGCATAAGAAACTATTTTCTGGTGTTGTAGCCGTATTAGAAAGTCTGATTTTACTGTTATATCCATCACCTGCAACAAATGCAGGTAGTCGCTATGGGCGACACTTGTACATTCTGGTGCTATGGATGCAACAAATTCAAAAGGAAAAAAAAATAAAGGTTTCTTACATGTATGTATAAATATCTATAGATATATATATATATATACACATACACCATTCCCTTATACTCTGATTCTCTGCTACATTCCCCCTAATGCATTGCCCCCGATCCCCTGATCCATTCCCCCTAATGCTCTGATCCATTCCCCCTTTTTACATGCCCCTAATTCCCTGATACGTTCCCCCTGATTCCCTGACACGTTCCCCCTGATTCCCTGACACGTTCCCTGGGTACATTCCCCCTGATTCCCTGATATGTTCCCCCTGATTCCCTGATATGTTCCCCTAATACATTCCCCTACTTCCCTGATACTTATCCCCTGATACATTCCGCCATGCTTCCATTCTGTTTGCCATGGATAGGGAAAGTAAGCATTGTTTTCTTGCTCTGTTTGTGGGGCCCCAAAAAGCTAACAGTGTATGGCCAGCCTAACCCCCTTGCTGCCACTGACGCATCCCTGTCAGCTTTACACTGGAAGTGATCGCTTCCATGGGCTGGCAAACATGTGAGTAATCCTTGCACTGCAGGTCCTCAGGTACAGCTTCCTCTCCAGCAAGGAGAACAGTGAGCAGCATCGACAAATCTCACTGCTGATCTAGTAAGTCTAGCAGCCAGAGGCAGCAGTGCCTGAGGTCTCACACTGCAGATACAGCCATGAATCTCAAGGATTAGGATGTGCACAGCTATTTCTCTGAAGGAATTTAAGACCACAATTAACATTTCTATATTTTCCTTATCCCAAGCCTTTGCTTTTTGGGTCTAGGTCCGCTTCAATAAGGAAATGCAGATTGCAAATACTAGGTGCAAAAACAAAACAATCACATCATCCACTTTTTCATTTAACTAAAAAAACAGAAAGCTGGCTGGTTGCTGCAGAATAATAAGCAGCTTATATTCCATTCTCTTTTCACAGGATATACACTACTAATCCTTCTAAGGTGGACACTGATTTTTCTGGTCATGTCCATGGATGTCACCTTCCTGGGGACTGGATCTGCCTATCCATCTCCTTGCAGAGGGGCCTCGGCTGTGGTTTTTCGGACAGAAGGAGAATGTTGGCTGTTTGACTGTGGTGAGGGTACGCAGACTCAGTTCATGAAAAGCCCTCTTAAAGCAGGTACGTAGCCTGTGGTTATGAAGCTGATTCATCAAGGTCAACAATAGATATTCAATGTGTCCGGGTGGCCCTCACCTCTGCACTGAATGACACTCCAGATACAGTAATACCTCGGTTCACGATCGCTTCTTTTAGCGAACAATTCGGTTCACGGACAGAAAGTTCGGCAAAATTTAGTTTTTATTTGCGAACTCCACATCGGGTGACGAACACGACCGCGGCCATCTTCCCCGCTCTGACACGTGGTTGTGGCTTCCTCTAGTCAAGATCGCTGTCGCAGACTGACCTGGGCACACTTGCTGTGAAGCTTTTTTGTGCGCTTTTTAGCACATGCTCCAAAGAAAGTGCAGCGCAAGCATGGTGGTAAAAAGATTGTGCAGAGCAGTAATGAAGGTGACAAGAATGTGCAGAGCGGTAATGAAGGTGGCATGAATGTGCAGAGAATGCTCCAAAGAAAGTGCAGCGCAAGCATGGTGGTAAAAAGATTGTGCAGAGCAGTAATGAAGGTGACAAGAATGTGCAGAGCGGTAATGAAGGTGACAAGAATGTGCAGAGCGGTAATGAAGGTGACAAGAATGTGCAGAGTGGTAATGCAGGTGACAAGAATGTGCAGAGCGGTCATTTACATTGAACCCTATGAGAAAATTTGATTCGGTTTGCGACCAAAATCGGTTCTTGACCACGTTCATAGGAACGGATTAACCTTATTTACATTGAACCTTATGGGAATTTTGATTCGGTTCGCGATCAATTCGGTTCACAAGCAGAATTGTGGAACAAATTAAGTTTGTGAACCAAGGTACCACTGTATATGAATCCTAATGATGCCCCTCCTGGGGGTGTATCTTTTACAGTCTAGGTTGAGAGGCCAGCATCATAACCCAGAACTGGTCATGAAGGCTTGGCCAAAATTCAACTGCTTTATGGCCCCCTAAGCCAGGGATAGCCAAACTCCGGCCCTCCAGCTGTGGTGAAACAACAAATCCCATGAAGCATCTCTCTCCGGGAGTCATGTCTGTGGCTGTGAGAATCTTGCAAAGCCTCATGGGATTCGTAGTTCCACCACAGCTGGAGGACCGCAGTTTGGCCATCCCTGCCCTAAGCAGAACTGAAAGAAAAAAAACTATTAGTGTATGGCCAGTCTTAGCCATCTAGTGGAAGGAAAGGAATAACTGGAGGGGGAAGCTCTGGATTGAAAGAAGTATTACAGCAAAAGATTATTTTTTAATTTTACTTTTATGGTTCTATTTCTTTTTCCTGGAGTTCTGCTTTAAAGTCTATGGAGAGGTGGATACCATGCATTGGACTGCACTGTATAAAAAAATGTTCACCCTTCCTTATGATCACTGTTGTATGTGCTCATGCTGGTGAAGTATTGGGTTTGTGCAAAGTAGAAACTGACAGGCTGCCCTGAGAAGACAATCGGAGCCTCTGCCTCACATCGGTCTGGTCCCTTTCCCCATCTAGCAGAAAGAGTAAGAAGGTGTTAGCCACTTTGGTTCTGGGATCCCCCCACTCCACAACAGAGGTAAGGTGGGTAGATCGGTGGACCTTTTCTTCTTCAGTCCCGTGGATAGCAGTACATGTAAGCCCAACTTTTATCTTTCAGTCCATTAGGTGCTGGAATAAAAATTTCTAAGCACCCTAGCGGGCAGTCTGATCATAACACTGCATGAAATCCAGGTGGTGATTTTTTATTTTTGGCCCTGCAGCATATTTTTTTACATTATATTGGGTGATTATTCTTGTCATTCATGGCATTTCCACTTTCAGTAAAAAAAAAATTCTCTGGAATGGGTGAACTCGGATATCCAGAAGCATTGCAGCCCCCATCCCCCTAGTTGAGAAATAATTATTTATTTGACATCTATTTTAATAGCAACCTTAAGCCGATGTAATGAAATGCAAAACCCGCAGAGCTAATGTTCTCCACCATGTGTTGCCTGCTTGCTTATTAAGTTTTACGATCTGCGTATACCACAGCTGTCACCATCTCTGCGGAAAGCGGCAGGTGCAGCGGGCACGAGAAGCGGTGACGTATCCTCGGCACCCACGCGCGGGCCCTGGCGGGATCGCTCGAAAATGACAGTACCATTATACACCGAGCAGATACTTCTACAGTTAAAAAACATTCATAGCGAAGCATACCCGTGAATCATATTCTGGAGATAAGAGAACCCCAGCCCAGAGGCAAGGGGGCAATCTCACCAATACACTCACAGACAGCACAATGTTTTGTCCTTTAAATTCCCCACCCCCTCAAAATAGCCTACATACCTAAATACTTATCAAAGCTGTGTCTGACAGCCAGCACCCCCACATGCCATAGCGACCCAGGCGGCCCTGGCCGGGCCCCCCTGTGCCCGGGCCCAATAGCAGCCGCTTGGGTCGCTATGGCGATTGTTACGCCACAGCATCTAGCTTTACTCCATGCAGATGTAAAAGACCCAAATTTAAAGGCTACATACATAGGCATTGTTTACTCACCGCATGCAGGTCAGCAGATTCCCATCGAGCTCAATGGCGAAATGTTGCATTTCTGTAAACACAACAAGGGGAATTCATCATCAAAATTGGAGCGGCTTTGCATGGCAACCAATCAGCATCCACCTTTTCATTTTCAAACCTTCACTGAACAAACCTAAGAGAGAAGCTGATAGGTTGCCATAGGCAACTGCTCACGATTTTGTCTGCTCCAGTTTTAATAAATTCCCCCCTTTTATGTTCGCTTGAGGTGCATTTACCGCGAAAGGCAAAGCAGGCCAGACGCAGCCTTTTGCTATGAGTTACGTTTGAATGCTGTTGCTTTTGAATGAATTTTACACCCATTTAAACAAGTCATAGTACTGCTCTGTATTCATTAATACATCATTACATTTTTTTTTTCTTATTGCAAGTGGTGTAGGTGTTGAATTTTGACTTGGTATCAGCCTTTTGCAATCTAATTGTTCAGCAGAGCTCAGACTGGAATAGGTAGGGGGCAACACATGGAGCAAATCATTTGCATTGCAGGGCTAATGTGCTAACAGGGGGCATGCTGGTAGGAGGAGAGAGAACAGTCACAGAGAGATGAGCTCATCGGTCTGCTGCTGCTTGCACTGTCCAATCACAGGCTGGGGGAGGGACAAGATATGTCAGTGAAATCTCTCTGTGTAAATCTTAGAAGTGGTAGATAGAAATACACATCCTTCGACAAGTAAGACGTCTCACTTCTTTGTTTTTTTTACATCGGTGTGTATAGCTATTTGCCTGAAGTTTGCATGGCAGTCGCTCGATTTAATTTATGGTTTGAGCTGCACTCTGGTGGCCCTAGTCATTCTGAAGAGTGTAGTGCCAGCCACAGGAATGAATGTGGCAAGCGGTGCACATAGGCAGTAGGCTCAGGTCATGGCTGGGACTTTAAAAGGCTATGCGGCTAGGGTTGCCACCTGTCCAGGATTCACCCGGACAGTCAGGGTTTTGAATGCTGTGTCCGGGTTTCATGGCAGCTGAAACCCGGACACATGATTTCAGGCAGACAAGGGCAACCAATATTAAGATAGGAGCTACTGGCCCCCCACTAAAAATAGTTTTGACTGTGAGATTTACACATAAATGGGTGAAGCTATTAACATATGAATAAGCCAAAACTCATTCTCCCCCCCAAAAAATCGGTGTGTTGCTAGCGTGTTCGGGTTTCACTGGAAGAAAAGGTGGCAACCCTATATGCGGCGTCAGGCAGGGCCTTCCAGTGAAGACTTCCAGAGCTTGGCTGAAGGTAAGAATTTAGATATATAGGGGTAACTTGGACAACTGCACTAATAGTGGAATTGTCCTCTTTCATTAACTTTACAAGTCTGCATGGGGACAGATAATCAGACTTCACTTGCTACATACTGGATTCTGCCAAGTGACTCAAATTATTAAAGTCAGAGTCAGCACAACGGTATGGTAAGGAGAAACAGGTCAGCAAGGGCCGCCTATATATTAATTTCATGACGGGTTTCCTTAAAGTGCTAGTAAACTGTAAACTACCAACACAAAACGTAAATTATAGGCCCCCAGAGGATTTTGCGATAATATGCCAGTATGCACAGCATATGAGCACGTTATGGCAGACTTACCTTGCAGGTGATCTCTTCCAGCCATGCGATGTCAGCGCTTTCCTCTGATGCCTGTGCTTCCATCTCCTCCCTGTCTTTTTCCCGGTTCTGTCTCCTCGGACCCATAATTGGCCCAGACTGGGATGATATAAGTCCAGTGCATGTGAACAGGGGCTACTTCATCTCAGCACAGGACCTTGCCGAGACTGAGCTGTGAATGCACGGTTCAGTGCATAATGTTAGTGTAAGGACTTGCCTTAAATGATGCCTCTTCATCCGATCATCTTCTTTACTGTAGTTTTCAGCTGTCCCTCCAGTGCTGGTGTTGGTCTCTGATCCAGAGCTGACTCCTCTGTCCTCCTCTTCCCTCATGTCCCATTATGTCTGTGCGGGTGCACGCTGCTCCATAGACTTACCTTGCGTCTCACGGCCGAAGATCTGAACTGCGCATGCGCCCGCCCCAAGATCCTTTGTGGCCGCCCGAGACTCTTCAGATGATTGTACGGGAACGTGCGGCGAAGACACAGGTAAGTTTAAACCTGTTTGAAAAGTTTTGTTTTTTTTAAAATGTTTTTGCATATATCTACTGCTTGCTAGCACTAGATATATGCAAAAACCACTGAGGGTTTAATAACCTGTAATATCTACTTGCTATGTACATGCTATATACGTGCTGTACATAGCTTCATGAAAACATGACAGCACCCTGCCTTAGTACTCCTCTGAAGAGCCCTTAGCCTGAGGCAAGCAGTCGTCTGGCTCTTGGAAGAAGTTATGCAAATATCAAAATGCCTTGATGGGTGTATATCAGTCTGGAAGGGCAGTTGTTCCAAGCAGACTGCATTTGCATGCAAGACGCCCTTGCAGTGCCCACATGCGATGCTGACCCTTTAAGATTGTAAGAACTGAAATCCAATGAATGTAAAGGGTGGGCCAGGGACAGTCAGGCTGGAGAGGAAAGAGCTAGATAATGCTGGATGTCCCCCAGCATGGGAATGAGGCAGGCTCTATCTGATTTGCTGCAACTTTTAATGCACGCTGTGAAAAGCTCAGAGTGCACAGTGAACAATTTCAGTACTGTGCAAGACTGAAGGGAAGGCTGAAGTACAATCTTGGCCAAGCTTTTATATATTGTGTAACACTGTTTTTTGTTCTGTTTTGTTCCATGCCTGCAGGTAGAATTACCAAGATTTTTATCACTCATCTTCATGGAGACCATCTGTTTGGACTTCCTGGCTTCCTGTGTACAGTTAGTCTCCAGGCTGGCTCTAATCCATCCAAGCAGCATGTAGACATCTATGGTCCTGTGGGATTAAGGAACTTTGTCCACATGAGTTTGGAAACCTCCCACTCACAGCTAGTCTTCCCGTATTCCGTCCACGAGTTGGTCCCTTCAGAAGACCAGTGTCCAGCAGAAGAGTTTAAAGACCTCTCAAGATACGGAGAAAAGAATGGTCCTTCCTTGGAAGAGCAGACTCTTCATGCAGATCCCAGTGACGGGACTTACCAGCTCTTGGAAAACGACCAGTTTGTTGTTCGAGCATTCAAGCTTCATCATCGTATTCCATCATTTGGGTTTGTGATTGCTGAGAAGGACCGGCCAGGCAAACTCAATGTGAACAAGCTAAGAGAACTTGGTAAACACCAAAAGTCTATTCCATTGTGTACAACTATCATGACGAGGGGAGGTCTAAGCTAAGGGGCAAATGCTCCCCTGGCCAGTTCTATGTTGGGCTGGTAAGCATGAGTGGAGATAAGACATCAGTCTGTACTGGCCTGCTGTCAGGGGCACATGATTGGCGATTAGCTACCTGGTCCCTTGTTCAGACCTGTGAGGGCAGTGTCTAGCAGAGGAAAGTCTTCCAGCACCAACTTCCCTTGTGGCTCTGAGATGTCATATGTTTGAATACCAAGAGCTGCGAAAGAAGCTGATGGTGGAAGATTTGAGAAGATATGTCACAATAAACCTATCACGTACCTGGTGGAGGTCCGATTAGCTGAGGAGGCCTCCCTTGCGGCTCTTGTGTCACACCCCTGGATGTGGAAACAGGGAGCGAGTAGACAGGGAGAAGCACAGGTGCCAAAGTGTTCAGACACGGTGCATGGTAGAAGTCTGGCAACTGGATCCCTGGAAGGATGAGCAGGGCAGGTGCACAGCTGTGATGTCAGTGAGGTTTGCAGCAGAAACTGAAGCGAGGTCAAACAAGCCAGGGGGTCAAGCCAGATGGTCAGCACGGTACAGAAGGAGCAGGCAGAGGCAGAGTCCAGATAACAAGCAGAGAACAGGGGCAGGCAGAGTCCAGATAACAAGCAGAGGTCAGGGGCAGGCAGCAATCAGTCAAAGTGAGCAGCAATCCGGGTCTAGGTAACGGGCAACAGATCAGCAGGAACACAAGCACAAGCTGAAAGACCGTTCAGCACTGACCCATTGGGCCAGCTGGTTTAAATAGGAACATCTATTAGAGGGCCATGTGTCACTTCCTGTGCGCCACTGTGTCACTTCCAGTGCGCCACATTCCGTTGTGTGCGCATGCGCACTAACGCATGTTTTCCAGCAACCTGGAAGAATGGGACCCGTGCATGCGCAGTAGTGTGTGAGCTCCCGGCTATGGCCTTACAAAACCATGTCCCTTTTGGAACACCCAGCTTTCACCTTGCTTGCTAATCACTGGAGCACCATGGCACACTTGGTGTGGTACATTTTTAATGGCCCACAGAACTCTTCCATTTAATGGTCACTTGGTTGTAGTTGACCCTCAGGCCAAAGGTTCCCAGTGCTCCTCTGATCACAACCTTTGTCATTGCAAAGCAGTACCTAGAAACTAGGAGTCTACCAATTAATGTCACATTCAGCAGTCAATACATCCAGTCTAGGAGCCGGAAAGCTCAGTAAGAGCCACAGAAATGGGCCATCATTGACTGCAGAATAGAAAACTTCAAATCAAAAAGTTAGTGGACAAGCGTATATGGCTTGCCTTGATCATGAGATTGTCCAGCCTTGCAGTAATTCTACTGCTTATGATATGGAGGGCTGTCTTTCCTGGATTCATTTACCCTTTATTAGGGATGCGCAGATACCGCTATTTCAGTATTGAATACCGATAGCGGATAACAATACCGCAAGTCCCGTTCAGGAAGCCATGTGGCGTGTAAAGACTTGCCACCCGGCTTCCCGATTAGCAGGGAAGCTGTACCCATGCTTCTCGTCACTAAGTGACGAGAAAGCATGGAGCGCGCTTTCTGGCCCATCAGGAAGCCGGAGCGCCGTGTAATAATGCGGCGCCCGGCTTTCTGATTGGCCGGGAAGCCAGCTCCATGCTCCCTTCATGCATGAAGCTGGCTTCCCGGCCAATCAGAAAGCTGGGTGCCATGTCATTACACGCCGCCCGGCTTCCTGATTGACCAGCTTCCCGACCAATCAGGAAGCCCGTCAACGCGTCATTACCCACCGCCCGGCTTCCTGATTGGCCGGGAAGCCAGCTCCATGCTCCCTCCATGCATGAAGCTGGCTTCCCGGCCAATCAGAAAGCTGGGTGCCATGTCCAGATTGGCCAGCTTCCAATCAGGCCAGCTTCCCGACCAATCAGAAAGCAACGCGTCATTACCGACAGCCCGACTTCCTGATTGGCCGGGAAGCCTGATTGGCCAGCTTCCCGACCAATCAGGAAGCCCGGCAACGCGTCATTACCGACAGCCCGGCTTCCTGTTTGGCCGGGAAGCCAGTTCCATGCTCTCTCGTCACAAGTGAGCACCGGCTACCCGGCTTCCTGATTGGCCAGCTTCCCGACCAATCAGGAATACCGATACAAGTACTCATAGCCCAAATACTCCGGTATCTGTATCACACCGAGTATTTGGTACTTGAATGCATTTTTAAGATTTAACTCCTGAGTTAAGTGTTGCTAAAACTGTCACACTTAATGCTGTGAGTTTGTAGAGTAGAGAGCACTAAATTATTTTTTAACCCAGAAAGAGTTAATGAATTGGTCACAATTTCTTTTAAAATTCCAACATGTTTTGGGGGTTAAAGAAGTCCTTCATCAAGGCTTGCGACTTAAAAATTGAGAAGAATCCGCACACGGGATTAGAATCCTGAAACCATAGAATGAGAGAGACATATAGACTGTTGATGACTGGTTAAGCGGGTTGTATTAAGCTTCTACACCCACATGGGATACCAACCTATGTCCGGGTCCAGAGCTCCATCTCCTCGCTTGGCATTCTAAACTTTGATGCTGAATGAGTTTCGCTGATAGCTTTTATACTACAGTTCGGATTGTCTCTGCTGGGTCTAAAAAACCTGCACTACCTCATTTCTAAGCTTTCTTCTTTACATTCCCATTAGAGGTGCACCAAAATGAAAATGTCAAAACCGAAATGAAAAAAAATGTCAGAACGAAACCGAAAATGTTTTTTATTCTAACTTTTTTCAATGTTTTTTTTCATTTTATTTTTATTTATTTTGTTATAAACTTTTTAATTTTTTTATATTTTTTTTTTTTTTATAAATAGTTGTATTTTTTTTACTTTACTTTCAGATGCTTCGGGGAAATATTAGGTGTCGAAACAGACCCCTGATATTTCCCTTTTAAAATAGAAAAAGAGATAGAGGACTCTGTGTTCTCATTTTCTGCAGCCCCTGTTATCAATGAACAGGAATCCTCTATACTGAGTGTTCCTGTTCATTCATAACATGAGGACAGAGTATGTTTACTATATCTACAATCATGAATGGACAGGAGGGGATGTAGATCACTTCCCATTCATTCATAACTGAGGATATAGTAACCATACCATGTCCTCAATTATCTACAAACACTCAGCGATCCCTGACTGCTTGTACCACTCTCCATCCTGACAGCTGTCACCAGAGGCTGAGCGAGCGGTGCGCGGAGGAGAGCTCGATCTGACAGCTGACTCCTCCCCGGCCTCCTGTGACAGTGCTGGCTGTCTCCGCCCACACACGCTCTCCTCCCGCAGCGCTCGGCCGCCTGTGACAGTTTCTCTCCTCCCCACTGAGACACAGAGCAGCGCCCAGCAGGGAGGAGAGAATAGGATTCACCGCTATATTTGCAAGAAAAAGGCACTTTCTGCATTTTGCCAAAACTGCCATTTTGGACCGATGTGTTTCGCCGGCCGATATATCGGTGCATCCCTAATTTCCATCATCTCTTGATCACCAGCTCAAATTTTAAAGCACGGTGACATTGGGAGTGCCTATTCTGGCCATGGAAATAAAGAGGTGGAGAGTGCCATTTAAGATTCTTATTCTTTGTAATATTTCTAGATCAATAGTGGGTTTTCTGCAGACAGAGTTCAGGCATGTGTCAGGTTGGGGCTATAAACAAATGAACGGCTTGCTTAGAACCCTGAGTCCCACTCTTGATGACAAAGAACCAACTCTATGGCATAGATGACACTTATGGAGCAAGGCCTAGCACCACAGACAGTCGGTAGGGGGTCATCATATAAGAAAATAGGTTTTTCCGCTGATTGACTTCTTTATCTGGATACATTATTGTTGGTATAGGTAAGGGGTAGGCAAACGTGGGCTCTCCAGCTGTGGTGAAACTATAAATCCCATGAGCCATTGCAGGGCCCTGACAGCCACGACTTCCAGAAACAGATGCATGATTGGATTTGTAGTTTCACCACAGCTGAAGTTTGGCTACCTCTGGTATAGGTGATTGTGGCCCATAAATATACGACAGTGACCATTCCTGGTTAATAATATACTTTGTTCTTATTTGCAGGTATTCAGCCTGGTCCTATTTATGGCAAGCTTAAACTCGGCTCTTCTGTTACACTAGACAATGGACAAACTATCCATCCATCCATGGTCCTAGGGGACCCCGTGCCAGGAAGGAAAGTTTGCATACTTGGAGACTGCTCAGGTGTCACCTCATTGGGGGCTGCTAAGCTTTGCCAGGATGCTGACCTCCTCATTCATGAAGCGACACTAGATGACGATCAGATGGACAAAGCCAAGGAACATGGTCACAGCACGCCCAAAATGGCGGCTGAGTTTGCAAATTCCTGCCGAGCAAAGAAGCTGGTTCTGACTCACTTTAGTCAGAGGTTCAAGCCTCCAGGACTGATCACGGAAGGGGATGACGATGTGACCATACTTAAGACTCAAGCGGAAAGCTTTTTGGTGGGACCGGAAGTTCACTTAGCAGAGGACTTTTTAACTGTCACAATTCCAATGAAAAAAACAGATTAGGGTAACGGTCTCACTTTAGAGGGGAACTAAAGGTGCCCATACACTTTACAACCCTCACAAGACTTCTGTCTTGCGAGTGTTGTAAAGTCATAAAAAAAAACATACAATCTGCCCATCTTGGACAGGCAGATTGTCCCGGCGACCATCGCAAGCCCGCCCCCCTGAGGGGCGGGCTTCCGATGACTGCAATGCTGAACGGGCAGTGTGCGCGTGCGCACACCGGCCCCTTCGGCAGTGATCTCTCGATCATGTTAAAAACCAGCCGAAAATCGTACCATTCTTGGCTGGTTTTCCAACATGCTCGATATACAAAAGTCGTGCGACCGTACAATAGAAACGGACGCACGCCTTCCATACACTGCACGATTATCGTACGATCGCGGGATTTCCGTACGAGAATCGTGCAGTGTATGGGCACCTTTAGACAAGGTCTTTGCACTTCTTTGAAAGGGCACTTTTTAGTGTACACCAGCAAGGCCAAGCCAATTACTGTAGACCAGGTGTAGCCAAACGTCGTCCCTCCAGCTCTGGTGATACAAATCCCATCATGGCTCTGTCATGCCTGTGGCTGTCAGTCTTGCAATGCCTTATGGAGATTTGTAGTTTCCCCACAGCTGGAGGGATGAAGTTTGGCTACTCCTGCTGCAGACCCTTGACTTCCTGCGTACACTGACAGGTGCTACCCCCATAGGATGCAGAGAGCCACACCAGAAGAACCGTGCCAGTCCTTCTTAACCTGTTGTAAACTAAGCTGGGGACGCACTGGACTGGACTTGTTGATCGTCTGTGTACTAAGCCTTTTAAAAAGTTTTACCCCCAAATAATTGTTACGTTACAGCCTAAAATAGTGTTGACACCTTGTTACCCAGAATACCAATTCCACTCATCCTTATAGTTAGAGCCGACGTGTGACAAAGAAGCTGTCACAGGTCGGGCTCTATTGATTGCGAAGTGAGCAGAGACATGCCGCCGATCCGCTCACTTCCCGACCATCTCGCTGCAGAGAGCGTTGACTGTCAGTCACCACTCCCCGCAGGAATTCCCCCTCTAGATAGGCAGAGCCAGCTGTCACTCACGCAGCTGGGGGGATCTCAAGAGTATTGTCGGGATCCGTCCCGGCTGCGGTGGTCTCAGTATATCGCATGCAATAGCCCGCTATATACTGAGCTTTGTGTCACGGGAGAAGGTTGGTATATGTCCTCCCGTGACCCTAAAGAGAACTATGGTGAAAAACACTGACCCCATAGTTCTCTTTTAACCCTCAAGGAGGGCCTAACTCTTACTATCCTATAATGGTTTAAAGCAGCCTTTCTCAACCAGTGTGCTGTGGCACCCTGGGGCACCTTATAGCTTTGTCAAGGGTGCCTTCAAATTTTTGTACAGTATCATGCATTTCCAAGGTGGCCACCAGGTCAATTAGTCACCATGGACATGCATCATGCTAATCCAGGGCAGCTGCATCCAGGACCTAATGAGAAAGGGGAGGACTCAGATGTGAAGTGGGAACTCCACATAATGTTTTTTGTTTTTTTTGCGTTGGGCCCCCCCCCCCCCCAGGTGCCCCCCCCCCCCCCTTTAAATGCATACCAGACCCCTATCTATGATAAAGATCTGGTAGAGATTTTTTGGGGGACCACGCGTCATCGTTTACATTTATTACAATTTAGACTGGGGTCCCCTGTGACTTTGCATACTTTTAAAGAGTGCCTTGAGTGAAAATAGATTGAGAAACGCTAATGTAAAGTGTCGTTCGCTGCTCCAGCTACATTCACGTCATCTTAGGAAGTAGATATTCTTGCTTTTAAAAGGAAACACTGAAATGTTTTATTTCATATATTGGCTGCATTGTATCTTTTTCCATCATATCTCTTTGTTATTGTTTACACTTGTTCTCTTTATTAAACTTGAATTTTTTTATATATAGATGGGCTTTATTCCACATTAGTATTTTGCTATGAGATGAATGCGTCTTTCTGAATAGTTAGCCTTTAAATAACATTTTTGGTTGTTTTTGTTATTTTATTTACTTTAGTTTGCTGATTCATCTCTTGGATTTTAAATTAAAGTGAAACTGAAGCCAAACTTTTTTCATTTTTGGATAGAGTGGAGAGGAATTAGAACACTTATCAGGTTTTTATTGCAATCTGAGTCCCTGTTAGGGAGATTTATTGTCCTGGTGACTGAAAAGGGAAGTGTACTGGAAGGACTAGAACCCTAAACTTCAGAAGGGCCAACTTTGATAAGCTGCGCAACCTAGTGAGGGAAATAAAATGGGAAAGCTTATTTCAAAACCTAAACACAGACCAGATGTGGGATTGTTTTAAAAACACACTACATACTGCTACTTCAAAGTGTATACCTTTAGGGAGCAAAAATAAAAGATCAAAGACTAAACCAATAAACAAAGCTAGCAGGGTCTTGTCCTGTATTAACCCCTTTGTGACTGACGCCAGCATCGGGGCTTTTTAAACAGACTCCCGGTGACTTTTGCCGCCGGGACTCTGTTTAAACTTGTAGAGCCGACTGTCGGCTTTACAACAGAAGCGATCCTGGCGACTTACCTGTCGCCAGATCGCTTCTGCGTCCCGAAGAAGGGGCCGCCCCCCCGCCGGACACTCCCGCCGTGCTTCCTGCACAAGGGGCGAAGGGGGTTCTTCACAGTAAGATCAGTTAGGGTCCGGAACTCACTGCCACAGGCGGTGATTTCAGCAAATAATGGGGAATTGTTCAAGAAACTTTTTGACGATTTCTTAAGGGACCGTAATATACAGGGGTACGGGTACTCCTAGAATGAGATCCTAATAGGTTGGACTTGATGGACTAATGTCTTTATTCAACCTCAAATACTATGTTATCACTGAATGTGAAAGAAAATCCCAAACTTTGGGTGGTCACTTGAACAGGATTAGATGAGAAATCTTCCAATGGGGACACTAGTTCTGGTGACCCTGCTGATCCTCAGGGATTTCCCTCTCTTTGGAGGAACAGTACAAGATGGTAAATCTTCCAGTGGGGACGCTAGTTCTGGTGACCCTGCTGACCACCAAGGATCTCTCTCACTTTGGAGGGAGTTCCTCTCACATCCTGTTGTGGCTTTCGGACAGGAAGTGAAGGGAAATCTCAATGGGACACAGATGGCTGCAAAAAAGCTAACTCTCCCTTACTCTATCCAAATCTAAAAGAAAAATAAGATTTGGATTTTCTACTTTAACGCATTATGTAGCACTTTAGAGCTCTGTTTTATAAAAAAATAAATGGAGTGAAAATAAATTCTTCACAAAAGGGGAGGGTGGCCATAGCAACCAATCAGCTTTCAAATTGGATTTATTTATTTATTTGAAGCTAAAAGCAGAACCATTGATGACAGAATGACTGAAGTTGCCATTGCTGTTTCTGTTTACAGCAATTCTCATTATGACCTGCTGGATGAAACAGCTTCTGGATTGCTGACCCACAACCAGCATTCAGATCTGACTTCACATGCTGCGTGTTTGTTCCTGGTCTCTGATTCAGAAAGTACCAAAGCTGGAAACGGATAGATAAAGAAGTTAATTGTTGCGGTTTACATCCCCTTTAAGAACCTGCGGATCGATAGCGCCCCGTGTCACTCATTTGTGAGGTCCTACCTATTGGCTAAATTGCAACTACTACGGCTTGGACCAGTTTTGAGCGAGTAATTTCATTCTTCCAAATTACTTGGAAAAGTGAACTTGCCCTTTAATGCACATTGAGCGTGTGTCCATGCACTATGTCCAACGTGTGCGCTTATTTGCATGCAGATGGCGGGCGTAGCGGGGTTGGTTTTAATTTTTTTTTTTTTACTTTATCACTTTTTTTAAAATATATTTTATTTTTATTTTTTTCCATATAGTTTTTATTAAATTATAAACATACAGGGGAATGTTGTACCTCTTGGATCTCAACATATGGTGTCAGTACATTACAATCAAATCTCAGCATTTGACTAGTTCACATTGTGATGTAAGAGATTAAGTCAGTGCTAAATGACAGCCAATATTAAAGCATTACAATGTATTGAATTGTGACAGACGGTATAAAAAATAGTTATGTACAGTGTAATGGTCTTCGTATCATACATTCTTAGCCTCATACTATTGTTTAGGCCAATTAAACCTTATAGTCACTACGAGCGTATAATAGATACCAGTTGTAAGTTCCGGAAGGGGAGACCTAATCGAAAAGAACAGGGCTCCCAGGCAAAAAAGATGTTATTTGGTGTTTCAGTGTGTAGGAGTGCAGGCTAACCGCCTGGGAATAGCTGAAAGGCTATAAAGCTAACCGTCGTCTAAGTGCATCAAACAGTGACACCTTACAAGACTAGTAGACACACAGTGGACAAGACAAACAAGGGACACATAGGGGCTTAAAAGCACACAGACCATGCCCATTTGTATGCAGATGACATAGGCGATGAGGTTGGTTTACATTTTTAAAAAATTTATTTTATTCTTTTTTATTTTTTTTACTTTATCAATTTTTTTTCATTTAACTTTATTGCTACAACACAGGGGATAACAAGCCCCTATGTGATAGCGTTTGGAGGTGACAGGTTCTCTTTTATGGAGACATCTGGGGGTCTCCCCTGTCCTCCAATACAGAAGATTGAGCACAGCATTGCGCGGAACAAGCAGGCTGCTGTGATCTGGGCGGCTGTACCACTTGTACAAAACGAGTGGCGGTGCCCCCACTCTACATTTAACCCTGCTTGCCCGCAGCGGGGCAAAATGTAGAAAAACATTCGGCCGCAGTTGGGGGCTTTTATTACACATACAGACTAGTACTCTTACTTACCAGGATCATGAAGCAGTCCCCTGCGATCCCACCACTGCTGTCATACACATTATGTAAAGATATTCTTATTTCATTTACATATACCACGCTAATAGCGGCTATTTTTATCGCTACTCCATAAATACAGCGCGCCAATGCCATCTTCAAGTAATCCAACCCACTCTACGCTTCATGATGGATCTTTATAGAATCAGTGACCTCA